AGGAGGAGGAAGAGGAGGAGGAGGAGAAGAGGAGGAGGAGATACGAGGAGCGAGGGGCGAGGATCGAGGAGGAGGAGGAAGAGGAGGAAGATGAAGAGGAGGAGGAGGAGGAGAAAGAAGAGGATGCTGATGATGATGATGATGCTGATGATGATGATGTTGTTGTTGTTGTTGTTGTTGATGATGATGATGATGATGATGATGATGATGATGATGATGATGATGATGATGATGATGATGATGATGATGATGATGATGATGATGATGATGATGATGCTGAACATGAAGATGTTGATGATGATGATGATGTTGATGATGATGATGAGGAGGAGGAGGAGGAGGAGGAGGAGGAGGAGGAGGGAGAAGGAAGAGGAAAGAGGAGGAGGAGATGAGGACAGGGAGGAGGAGGAGAAGGAGGAGGAGGAGGAGGAGGAGCGAGAATGGGGAGGAAAGGAAAAGATTGGGAGGAGGGAGGAGGGCGTGAGGGAGGAGGAGGGAGGGAGGAGGGAGGAGGGCGGGAGAGACGGAGAGGGCAGGGAGGCAGGAGGCGGAGGAGGAACGGAGAGGGAGGTGGCTCTCAGGGAGGAGGGACGGAGGAGGAGGAGGAGGAGCGGACGGAGGAGGAGGAGGAGGAGGAGGAGGAGGAGGAGGAGGAGGATGAGGAGGAGGAGGAGGCAGGAGGAGGAGGGAGGAGGGAGGGAGGGATGAGGGAGGGAGGGAGAGGGAGGGAGGGAGGAGGGAGGAGGGAGGAGGGAGGAAGGGAGCGGAGACCGGGACGAGGGAGGAGGTAGGAGGGAGGAGGAGGCGGAGGCGGAGGCGGAGGAGGAGGAGGAAGAGGAAGAGGAGGAGGAGGAGGAGGCAGGAGGAGGAGGGGGAGGAGGAGGAGGAGGAGGAGGAGGAGGAGGAGGAGGAGGAGGAGGTGGGAGGAGCGAGGAGGAGGAGGAGGAAGAGGAGGAGGAGGAGAAGAGGAGCACGAGGATGAGGATGAGGAGGAGGGGGAAGCAGTCAGAAGAGGGAGGGAAGCAGAGGCAAGATTGGGAGGGAGCCAGACGGAAAGGGAGGGAAGCGAGGTGAGGGCGGGGGGGGGGGCCGTGCGCGGGCAAGCGGCTCATCCACCACCGACGTGCTCCTGCACCCCCCCCCCTCGCTCGCCGAGCCCCCCCGAGGCCTGTTGCTAGTCCTGCTCCTCCTCCGTCCTCCGTCCTGATCCTCCGTCCTGATCCTCCTCCGCCCCCTGACGTCGAGCTCTTCCCTCCCTTCCCGCTCTTTGGGCACACGCTAGCATGTATTATGGATCGGGCCAAGGCCGCCCGGAGCAAGCAGATTCTGTGCGTAAACGGGGCCCGTCGATAATCCACGCGCCTGAATCCATGTTTGCGCTTCTTCGACCCCCATACCGTGGTCACCCCCCCGACTTCGCCCCTTGCCCTTACCCTCCCCTCCTTCCCCGCCCTCCGTCGTGGAAAAAGAAAACGAATCCAGCGACTCGAAGAGGGAATGTAAAGCCTTTTTCTGTGGCTGGTTCGGCTGTCGCCGGTCTGGCAGGAGAGTTCTCATGGCTTGAATAGAGCAAGAAACACTGCACAAATCCGCCGACCCAGTCGGCGTGTGTGAGGGGCTTGTCCGTTCAAGTCGTCATCTCAGTCATTCGTTGGTCGTCGTCTCTGTCGTCCCCTTTCCCTGCCTCCCCCTTTCCCTGGGCTCGTCGAAGCTCCCCCCTTTCCCAGGGACCTCCACAGCGCGCCAGCCAAAGCGAAGTTGAGCAACATCGTAATCGAGTCGAAGGGAAGCCCCTTCCCTTCGATCCCTCTCCCGCCGGGGGGGGGGGGTCCTGGGGTGGGGGGGTCAGATACCCCGGGGAATCCCGGAGCCCCAAAAAAGCCCCAAGACGGGCCAAGAGTGCCCTGAGAGGCCCCACAGACAGTTCCAGAGAACCCCGAATCGCTGAGCGATCTGTCCAAGACGCCTTAACGGCCTCCAGACGGCCGCAAGAGGCCTGCCACGCGCCCCAAGAGGCCTCCGGGAGCTTCCCCACGGGAGCCCCAAGAGGCAAAATGCTGGACTGCCCATACATCTTTGGCAGATTTTGGCGTTTTTGCCTCTTCCGCTGCCCGTCGCGCCAGGACGGCCCAAGAGGCTCCCAAGACCGCCCCGAGACGGCCCCCCAAGAGGCTCACAGGAGGCCCCTAGAGGTTTCCCAGAGGCCCCAAGAGGCCCACAAGAGGTCCCCAGGAAGCCCGAAGAGGCCCCCAAGAGGCTCCCAAGAGGCCGCCCCCAAGAGTCTCCCAAGAGGCCCCACAATTTCTACATATTCCTACCCAGAGGCCCCCGAGAGACTTCCGAAGAGATCCCAAGAACCAGCCCTGAAGATTCTGGCCCACATCAGCGTCGTCGTCGTTGCCGCCGCCGCCGTTGTCGTCGTCGTCGTCGTCGTCGTCGTCGTCGTCGTTCTCGTCTCCCTTCAGGGTAGGCGGCACCGGCCGTAAGGCCTTCGCAATACAGACTCTGGGGAACCTGCGCGGATTTCTCGTATCGGCCGGCGCTGGAAACCCCTCCCTGGCGAGCGGAGCGCGCGGGGGGCGGCGCCGGAATCGCCGCCAGCGGCCCGGGGCCCAGCGCCGATCCAAGAAATCCGCGCGGATATCCGAAAGTCCATGTCTAAGTCTCCTTTGCGGTGGTGGCGGAGGCAGTCTTTCTGGTCACAGGTGCGGGGCGCGAGCACGCTGAACGCTCTGCCACAAGCAGGCACTCGGTCAAAAGCCTCACACGCACATGCAGTCTCCTTATCGCCCACCTGATGGTCATGTGGGTGGGGTGAATGTGCTGATAGTGACGATGATGGTCTTCCTTGCCTCTGTATTGCCAGGTCTCTCCCTGGCAGGAAGTGGGACGAACAGAGACATACTAACAATAATAATATTATGCTTGGAAGCACGCGTCGGACCCGAACATATAGTATACCCATCTTGTAGTATATCGTTTCCCGAGCGGTGTGGCCAGAAACCGCTTCTCGGTGCGCGCGTCGCCCCTGGGGGGCGACGCACACATAGTATGAGCAGGTTGGGGTGACGCCGAGGAAGGGTAGGAAGGACTGTTCTTTCTTCTTCGATTGAGGTCTACTCCACACCGACGAATGCCCCCCTCCCACCCTCGGGCGGGTGGTAATGGGGGGTGACTTAAATGGGGGGTGACGAAACATTGCCGTAAAGGGGCCCTTCAGGGCCGCTTTTTGGGGCACCAGCTGGCTCCAAAAGGGGCCCTCGAGGGCCGCTGTAGGGCCTTTTTCTTCACCCCCCCCGTGTGGGTCACCCCCCCATTACAGAGGCCTCCTGGATGGGGTCCCAACAGCTGGGGTCGGAGGATCGCGCCGCATCGGCGATACATCGCCGATGCATCGCCGATGCATCGGCGATGCGTCGGCGATATCGGCGATGCAGCGGCGACGCCAGCGTGGAGAAAATCGGACTCCGCATCGAGCCGCATCGCCGATGCAGCGGCGATGCGGCGCGATCCTCTGACCCCATCTGCTACGACCCCATCTGGGAGGCCTAGACTTATGTTGTTCCCATCCTACTTAAAGACCACATCCCATAAATAATTTCGAGCACCCGGAAAAGTGTCGAAAGAGTGTCGAAAGAGTGTCGACACAGTGTCGGGCGAGTGTCTCCCAGGGACCGACACGTGAAAGCCATCGAGTTTCGGTATTTTTGTTGGGAGGGCTCGAAATTCTTTCTGGTGGTCAAGGCTAAAGTGGGTTGGAACATCATAAGCCTAGACATTTCCACCCGCCCGAACCCCTCCGGGGGGCCCGGGCCTCGCCCTCCCCGGTGACGGCGAGCACCGCGGTCACGAGCCGGGTCGCCTCGGCGAAGAGGGCCTCGTATGCGGGGCGGCGCGGCCCGCCGGAGGCTGCCGTCGGTGGCGCCGTCGCCGCCGCCGCCGTCGCCGCCGCCGCCGCCGTCGTCACCGCCGCCGTCGTCGGTAGCGTCGTCGCCGCCGCCGTCGTCGTCACCGCCGCCGTCGTCGGGATGTGGGTATCGCCGTCGTCGTCGTCGTCGTAGTCGTCGTCGTCGTCGTCGCCGTCACCGTCGTTGGGGGTGGCGGCGGTGGGGGGGGGAAGAAGACCCGAGGAGGAACATGTACCGATACCGCTAGCCTTCCCTCGTCGCCACGGTTGGACTAGCATCGAAATCTGGGTCAGCACGCACACGAGGATCGGTCCGTGGAGTAGCAGTCTGTGTACCTGCTTGTTCCCCTAGAGGGGGAGCAGAAGTAGGAGCGGGGAGGATGAATGAGGATCGAGGGTCGTGGCATCAGTATTGAGAAGAGGCATCCAGGGGAGAATTTGGTGCAGGGGGAACTTTTAAATATTTTCGGGTCCTGTTTTTTGTGATTGCACAAGGTTCCGCGGGAGTCGATTGGCTTCCGAAAGGGCGAGTGGGAGGAGTAATTGAAGGAAGGCTGGGAAGGGAGAGAAGGACGAGGTGGGAGGGGGAAGTGGATGGGACTCCTGGCCAGGTTGCTACGCGCTTGTCGCGGAAGGAGGGAGACCCACGCAGTCTCATCTCGCGTCTAAGCTTTAAGCTCATTCAGCACGCAAGGAGGCTTGACTGTTGGCAGGAAGGCATTCGAATGATGCTTCCAACGTCCGATAAAAATTTCAGTGAAAGTCCCGACTCACCGGGTGAGCTTTCAAAGAACCGCGTGCGCACAGCGCACAAGACCCGAGCGCATCAGGCGCAGCGCAAATCATTGCAGCCCTGTGCCTGGCATGCCAGAGGCGAGCTGCGAGATGTGGTTGCTTGCAGCCCTGGAGCCTGTTATCGAAAAGCCCGACCCGAGAAGCGTCTGGGACGCTCCAGAAAGCTCCGAGGAAACCCTGCATGGCTTCTAAGCGACCCGGCGAAGAAGCTCGTCGGGGTCTGGGAGACTTCAGAGTCTGGAAGCCTCGGGAGAGGTCCTGCCCTCTCTTACGCTGCGCTCTGGCATCATGTCTGCCCTTGCACGTCGCTTATGCTGACCGTGACGGCCGCTGCAACCTCGGACTTGTCCTCCTCCTCATCCTCCTCCTCTTCCTCCTCCTCCTCCTACTCCTCTTCCTCCTCCTACTCTTTGATCTCCTCCTCCTGCTCCTCCTCCTCACATTTGTCCTCCACCTCCTCTGATTTGTTCTCCTCGAACCTCAGAGGCCAGTGAGAACCGGACGTACAAAAGCTGCTGAATCTGCTGAAGGAGCCGCCCGTGAACACGCCTACGCCCCCGAGTAACGGAAACGACCCTGGCGCCGCCTCCCACCCTCGGGACCAGCGGTGACGGGCCTGTTTTCCACCACCACCACCACCACCATAAGTTGAAGGGGAAGGGGGTCCTCCTCCTCCTCCTCCTCCTCCTCCTCCTCCTCCTCCTCGTCCTCGTCCTCCCCCTCCTCCGTTTCCTCCTCCTCCTCCTCCTCATCCTCCTCCTTCCCCCCTCCAACTTATGGTGGTGGTGGTGGAAAACAGGCCCATCAGACCAGCGGGGTGGCCCGCTTGGGAGGGGAATCCACGGCCATCCGACGCTTCGGAGGGGAATCCCCAGCCATCCCCAGCCAGTCCCCGAAAGTCCCGACCTTTCCCACAGGGCCGGCTCTCCCTGCACCAGATCGGGGCTGGACCTAAACGTTGCTGTTCGTTCTGTTATCGTTTCGTTTTTTTCGTTATGCCCTGCCCGTTTTCCTGTTACTTCCCTCCCAAAACGAAAAACAAAAAACGGCCTAAGTCCAGCAAAACAGCGCTTAGGTCCAGCCCTGGCGCAGGAAGGCGGCGCCAGTTGCAAGCCTGGCAGCACCGAGGGGTGGCGAGGTCCATTCCCACAGGGCCGGTTCTTCGTCCTGAGTAGTTCCTCGACGGTCCCCCGGGTGCCCAGCGATGGCCTCCCGAGGCCCCGAGCAGCCAAGACCTCTCCGTCCTATGGGGCGGGGCGGGCCATCCAGTCCGTGTCGGCGATCAGTGGGCGATTGGGAGTCGACGAGACCCCCCCTCCTCCTCCTCTTCCGCGCAGTGCTGCGCTCCCCGCGGGCCTCCTTCGGCCGCTCGTGCTCCTCCTCCTCCTCCTCCTCCTCCTCCTCCTCCTCCTCCTCGCTCCTCCTGTTCCTGCTCCTCCTCTTCCTCCTCCTCCTCCTCCTTTTCCTCCTCCTCCTCCTCCTCCTCCTCCTCCTCCTCCTCCTCCTCCTCCTCCTCCTCCTCTACGCTCCACATCCAGTCCTCCCCATCATCCTTTTCTCCTCCTCCTCTCTTCCTCTTCCTCCTCCTCCTCTTTTCCTACCCTCATGTCCTCCTCATCCTCCACCTCCTCCTCTTTTCCTCCTCCTCCCCCTGCTCTTCTTCTTTTCCTCCTCCTCCTCCTCCTCTTCTCCTCCTCCTCCCATTCGTTCATCCTCCGCCTCGCTCCTCCTCGTCCTCCTCCTCCTCCTCCTCCTCCTCCTCCCCATCCTCATCATCGCTCCTCTTCTTCTTTTTGTCCCACCTCATCCTCCTCGTTCCTCCTCGCTCGTCCACGCTACTCCTCGCCCCGCCCTCCTAGTCCTCCTACCCGTCCCTTTCCTCGTCCTCCTCCTCCTCCTCCTCCTGACTCCTCCGCCTCCTCCCCTCCTCATCCTCCTCCTCCTCCTCTCCTCGTTCCTCGCTCCTCCTCTCTTCCTCGTATTCTCCATCTCGTTCCTCCCCCTCCTCCTCCTCTTCCTCCTCCTCCGTCTTCACCGCTCCTCGTTCCTCCTTCTCGTTCCTAGATATCCTCGCGTGTCGCCCCCTCCCCTTCTCCTTCTTTTTCCTCCTGTCGACACTTGTGCAACCGTGTCCCTCCAGGTGAAAAGCCACAATGGTGGGCGAACGAACGAGCGAAGGCTAAACGTGAAACAGGGCCGAGATCGGGCGCCACAACCACGACAGACTCGGCTGGGATGGAAGGGAGGAACAATATCCCAATAATGACTCTGAGGACGGGCTTCTCTTGAGCAGGGACCGACTGTACCGGCATTCCTATAGGCCTACAACGACATGGTCTTAGAACCTAAAGCTGTTCTAAGAGCAGCTCGTGCAAATCACAAGAGGTTCTTGGAACATTCTTTGGTGGGCCTACAGGCGAACCAGGACGCTTCGCTACTGCTTGTTTCCCCCCTCTTTCGGCAGCCCGAAGCTGTGCACCGCCGGCATGCTTTCGGGGGGGGGGGGGGGCGCTTGCGGGCGCCGCCCCCCGAGCAGGCGCAGATTTGCCACCCCAAAAGCAACGCACTCCCTGCACCAGATCATTGTGTTTTTCGTGGTTCGTGCTTTGTTTTCGTTATGTTTTTCGTTTTGCCCTGCCTGTCTTCCTGTACCTCCCTCCCCGAACGAAACACAAAACACGGCCGAAGTTCAGCAAAACAGCGTTTGGGTACAGCCCTGGCGCAGGAAGGCGGCGCCAGTTCCACGCCTGGCAGCACCGAGGAGGAGCGAGGTCTGCCAGGCCCTGCGCACGGCGCCG